GAGGGTAAGAGGAGCTGTTGGACAGTAGAACGATCTCCGCCAGAAGATGGTGGACTCTCCTTTCTTGCAGGATTTTAAGCAGAGGTTTGATGGCCATCTATCATGGATGTTTCAGCTGAGATTCCTCCATTGTAGGGGGTTGACTGCATGACCCTTGGGTGCCTTCCAACTCTACAATTCTGTGATCCAGGGTCACTATCCTGCTTTGCTACTTAGCCTTCGAGACAGAGCCTGCCAAACCATCTCCTTAGATGCTGCTTTATGGGTTGCAGTTCCTTTGCTGCCACCCTCCCCCTTTCTCTCTTCGTGTCCCTGTCCGCCCTTTCCACCCTTCCTCCCCAATCACCCTCCGTCTCTTCTGCCCTCACCTCTCCACACCCATTCTGCCAGCTTTCAAGCTTTTCTCCTTCGCTAGCACTGGATTCCTCTTGCCTCCTCTTCCAGCTGGCTTCTTATCTCTCCCATCTCTCTTGGGTCTCATAACTCACCCCCCCACCTGAAAGTAGGGAGTTCTGATGGTGGTAGAGGGTTCCTATGACAAACCCATGTATTCAAAGTAGCTGAAGACTGCCACCTAGAGCATCTGGGACTCTAAGGTGCTACTGGACAATTTTTTTATTTTTATTTTTATTTATTAGGGCAGACTGACTTCTTCTGTCTAGTTCCACAAGCTGCTTGACAGATTTCCTGGCCAGCAGTTCCAACACTGATTCAGTACTCCGTCTTCTCCCGCCCCATCCCCCAATAACTTCCTTCCTTCCTTCCTTCCTTCCTTCCTTCCTTCCTTCCTTCCTTCCTTCCTTCCTTCCTTCCCCCCCCCCCCAGCTTCCCTTTTAGCAATCTCTTCACTTATAGGAAGCTTCCTCTTTTGAAAACAAATATGACAGTGTTGGGTTTTCTGGGCCATCCCTCCTCTACCCCACCCTCTGCTTTTATGCCCCTCCTTGGCCCCTGCTTTCCTCGCAGGCTCTTCTGCCCCCCCCCCCAGCCATTCAGGTATTCCTGTTCTAGCTGGGAACCCAGACATGGAGAGCAAACAACTCACCAAGACCCAGCTCTGGGTCTCTTTCCTTCTTTGTGCTGGTCAGGGTTGGGCTTGGGTAATCTTTGGTAGTATGGCACTCTGAGTGAGGCCAATATTTGGCACCCCAAAATGAATCTTCTCAGTGGTGAGTCTTCTCAATTTTGCCCCTCCTCGGATCAGGGCCGTGTGCAGGGGAACCACCTCCTCTGCCCTCAGTCCAGTTCTGGTGCTGATCTTCAGACCACGAAGCTCTCCCTGGTAGAAACGACCAGTCAGGGACTACATGGCATTTCCTCTCTTGCAGTCAGGTATGTGCTGTTTATCCATTTTTGCCAATCCTGAGGCAATATACAGTCAGAACTGGGACATTGCTGTCCTGTCAAACTGGTGAAAATCCGAGCTATTAGACCCAAGATGGACCACCAAGTGTCTTCTCCAGACCACCTCAGAAGAAGCCATAGGAAGCGTTAGCCAGAGCAGCAAACAGTGGAAGTTTATGTGTCCTCCTCTTCCCTACCTCAGAGTCCCAGGAGCCTGGAGCCAATTAGATTCCAGAGGAATAAAGTCGGTTGCGTGGTGAGTCCCCCCCCCAGGGAATTTGAGACACAAGACACCAGAGTTTAAAGTTAATGGGTCAAATTAGGCCACAACTTTATTTATTACGGGAATTGAGGGGTATTGGCTTAGGCATTGGTCCTATCAGCTAACCGGCTTCAGCCCTCGTGGATGAAGACCAGCAAGGGTTAACCACCAGTAGGGGGAGTCCTGCTGATGCACGTCAACTAGGAGCTCCCCCGGGGTCACCGATCGGGGCGTGCCGTAGGCCCACAACTCCATAGGATTAGGACGAGGCCACGCCCCCTGGAATCCTTTACCAGACTACCCTTCAATTTGGGGGGAAGGTGATGACGCTTCCTCCCCCCCTTTTAATCTGCATAACAATACCCCTACCAATGCCTAACCGCCAATGCCCGGGAAGTTGTGACGATTGCTACGAGGTAGGCGAAAAAACCAAATGGCTGGTGCCAATTTGCCAGATGGCAAAATTCCTACCAGGCCCCTTGACGGCCTCCAACCGAAGTCCATAGCAAGGTCGGAAAGCCTACCTAAAGGGAGGGCGGGGTGGGAAAACCCAGTCAGCTGGAGCGCAGCGATGCAAAGAGGGTGGTCCTTGGCCGTGCCGGCCCTAAATAGGGCAGGCCACACACCCCAGACCAGCCGATTGGCTGGCTGGGGGAATGATGTGGCCAAGGATTCTCCTAGTATTGCGGGGGCTGTGTGCCAGCCCCCGTGTGCGTGGGGAGGGGCTTGAAGCCCCGCAACCCCACCTCCTTCCTAGTTCGGAAGTGGCTTTACCATAAGTGAAAACGGAGAACCTCAGGGCTGAGCTGGGATTTCAGCCAGGGATGTGCTACTCACTCTCCCTAGTTCTCCAAGTGAGGTGATGCCCAGGGGGCCAGGATGCTACTGGGTTTACTTGGGTTTCAGACAAGAGTGTGGGCTTGTATTGATGGACAAGCAGAGCCTATGGGGGGCAAAGGGGTACTCCTTTAGCTGACAGCAGTGCTGCTGATCCTTGCATCAGCTTTGCAGGGCTCTGTCACTGCAGCCTCCACAGTAGTTTGTTTCCTGCCTTTCTGTTTAAAAGACCCCCTGCAAGGCAGTTTATTTGGGTAGGACTACATTTGGACGCGGGTGGCGCTGTGGTCTAAACCACAGAGCCTAGGACTTGCCGATCGTAAGGTTGGCGGTTCGAATCCCCGCAACAGGGTGAGCTCCCATTGCTCCATCCCAGCTCCTGCCAACCTAGCAATTCGAAAGCACGTCAAAGTGCAAGTAGATAAATAGGTACCGCTCTGGTGGGAAGGTAAATGGGGTTTCTGTGCACTGCTCTGGTTCGCCAGAAGTGGCTTAGTCCTGCTGGCCACATGACCCGGAAGCTGTACACCAGCTCCCTCAGCCAGTAAAGCGAGATGAGCACCACAACCCCAGAGTCGGCCACGACTGGACCTAATGGTCAGGGGTCCCTTTACCTTACATTTGGGTGGAGGAGCAGAAGTTCCTAGCTTCAGCCTCAGCACGTTTAGTTAAAAGGGCTCAAGAGACAAGATCCATTTTCTGAAAAGGCTGCCACACCCATGTGAAGGATGGGTCTCCCAGGGCCCGGCCATAGCAGCTTCCCCACCCATTGTCTTGTGGCAATAGAAGATTTACGATGACCGGCTACAAAGTTCATACTTCTGCTTACGCAAGCCCTTTCCACACCAGGGCTGATGAGCGGTTGCTTATCACCCAGAAGCAGAATTATAACTGTGATTCAATGCAGCAATTAATATTTTATTACATTTACACCTACCTTTTGCCCATGACAGAACTCAAGGAACCCCAGGCGGTCATTCATCTGGGCAGGCATATAATATGGGCATCCCAAGAACTACACCTGCTCTGATGTCCACCTTCAAATATCTCAAGGGCTGTCACATGGAAGGTAGAGCAAGACTTGTTTCCTGCTGCTCTGGAGGGAAGGACTCAAACCAGTGGCTTCAAATTGCAAGAAAGGAAATCCCAACTAAACATCAGGGAGAGCCTTCTGAGGGTAAGAGGAGCTGTTGGACAGTAGAACGATCTCCGCCAGAAGATGGTGGACTCTCCTTTCTTGCAGGATTTTAAGCAGAGGTTTGATGGCCATCTATCATGGATGTTTCAGCTGAGATTCCTGCATTGTAGGGGGTTGGACTACATGACCCTTGGGGTGCCTTCCAACTCTACAATTCTGTGATCCAGGGTCACTATCCTGCTTTGCTACTTAGCCTTCGAGACAGAGCCTGCCAAACCATCTCCTTAGATGCTGCTTTATGGGTTGCAGTTCCTTTGCTGCCACCCTCCCCCTTTCTCTCTTCCGTGTCCCTGTCCGCCCTTTCCACCCTTCCTCCCCAATCACCCTCCGTCTCTTCTGCCCTCACCTCTCACCCCCATTTCTGCCAGCTTTCAAGCTTTTCTCCTTCGCTAGCACTGGATTCCTCTTGCCTCCTCTTCCAGCTGGCTTCTTATCTCTCCCATCTCTCTTGGGTCTCATAACTCACCCCCCCACCTGAAAGTAGGGAGTTCTGATGGTGGTAGAGGGTTCCTATGACAAACCCATGTATTCAAATGTAGCTGAAGACTGCCACCTAGAGCATCTGGGATTTACACACCGTGGCCATAAACCACGAATACAGTGGTACCTCGGGTTACATATGCTTCAGGTTACATACACTTCAGGTTACAGACTCCGCTTACCCAGAAATAGTGCTTCATGTTAAGAACTTTGCTTCAGGATGAGAACAGAAATTGTGCAGCAGTAGCAGGAGGCCCCATTAGCTAAAGTGGTGCTTCAGGTTAAGAACAGTTTCAGGTTAAGTACGGACCTCCGGAACGAATTAAGTACTTAACCTGAGGTACCACTGTAAATAGCTGTTCAATGTTTTGTTTCTAGATATGCTTCCCCACTTTTTGCTCACAAATGCTAACTGTCCACCTTTCAAACGTAACTGCAGTGTCGTTAGGAAAGTAGAGGTAGCCTCTTAGCATGGCTGCATAGACTGTTTACATCAGAAAACAGGTGTGACTCACCATTGGACAAAACCACAGTCTGTCTTGGTAAAAAGGCCAGATTCATCTAGTCTCATATTCCCATAAATCTGTGAGGCTTTAATCGTGGACCTTTTCTTCCAGGAAACATCTAACTGGAGTCCAAAGATGCTGTCTCTCTCAATACCTTTGTGATGCATGGAACTCTGTACATGCTCTGAAACCTAAGATTCTGCTCAAGCTAGCAAGATGTAACTAGGCTGCCATCCTCAACCCACATACATGGGAATAAACTCCAGTATACTCAGCGGGACTTACTTTTGACTCAATCAACACTGACACTCGTTGACCCAATGATTGCAGTGCCTGAAGGACACACACACCATTAATCTTTGCAGTTACAATTGACTTTTATTTGATCCAATTTTACATCCACATTTCACTTGTTAGATGGTGTTTTTTTTAATTGTAATCATGGACATGATTGGTCAGCAGAGAAGATTGCAAAGAAAAGGAAGCTAAGAATCATAGAATTGTAGGTTTCCTTCATGGAGAGGCTAGCTGGAACACCAGATTGTAAGAAACCAAGAAGCCATCATTGTACAGATACAGCTTGCGGTCTGTTGGGTGGTAGTCAACCCCCCGCACCGTACCAAAAGGCTTCTCCAGCACTATGCTAATCCGGCCCTCCTTCCCCGTGTTTGTGTCAAATGTATAGAAGATCTCCTCTTGCTGTGTGTTCAGAGACCGAGTGACGTACAGGACTCCGCAGATGATGAAGGCACTAGTCACAGACGGCTTGTACTGCCGTGTGAACCAGGTCTTCTGCATCTGGAGGGTGTCCTCGTTTATCTTGCTAATCACGATGTTCCCTGTGTTTGCCTCTGTGGAATAAATGGCCCACAACCCACTTTCATCCACAACCAAGTCTATATCTTGCCAAGCCATCCCTGCATAGGAAAAGCGGTTATTGTAGGCAGCCCCTGTGATCGTGCTTTTCAAAACCACAGTGTTAGAGTTCAATTCTAATTTATACATCTGATTGGTGTTGTGGTAATTAAAGTACAGGAAATTCTTGTATACTGTTGCTCCACTTCCTTGCCCAGATAGACTAAGTCTCTTAGATGGTGCATAAAATAATAGGTTTTCATAGGATGAGTAAAGATCAATTGTCTGCATGTTCCTTTCATCATACATTGGAGCCACCCAATAGGCTTCACTTGTAGGGCTGCCTGGAGAGTAGCCTTTGCCCCAGACACCATACCGGTAGCCAGACCCTCTCCAGTTCCAGCTGTGGAGGTGTGGCTTGCTGATGTTCACAAGGCCACTGTGGTTGCAGAAGCCTAGAACCAAACAGAGAAAGAGAAGATGATTTGAAACTACTGGGAGACATGAACATGGTGAGAGAAACATTAAGCCTTCACATTGTGGTTTAGGGTAAAAGTCTGCTAGGGTTTGAGAAGTTGTTTTCAAGACTCTTCTGATTAAGTCAATGCAATTGAGCTGGAGAAAACCCCACCAGCTAGGCAATCTTCTGAGCTGATGGAAAGGGTGTTTCTACTGCCATTCAGAGGTTAACAGCTTTTATAGGAATGACAAAGTCATTGCAACTCATTTAATAAGGAACCAAAAGAAACTCGCTTTACAGGAAAGGCAGCATTACTGGTCAAAAACCTCAAACATCCCATACTTCCTAAACCTTTTCCCCCACTTCATGCTGACTCTCTTCTTTCCACCCTACGAAGGAAGCCCATCATGCCCTATGACAGGCCCAGATCCTTGCAGACACATACATTATGCTTCCGCCATGTAGAACTTCAAACAACCAATTTATGGTGCAGGATCATTTGCCCTGGTTTGCATGTCTTCCCATTAGCTGCTCGTTCAACGCACCACTTTGTCACTTTGCAAATTCCAGGAAATTGTGAAGAGGATCTTCACCCATGGTTTATGGTGGGGCGTGGGGAGGATTTAGTTAGGTATGCAATAACCCAAGAACTGTGGAAGCAGCTAGAAACCAGCCATACGAGACCAATGAATGTGCTCCAATCCTCAGGCTTCCCCCACCCCAAAGTCCCAAGCAGTGCTGAGGGCCTCCACTGTCTCCCACAGACTGTCTTAGAAGCCCTGCTGACCTGGTGGAACTAGTTGACCAGAGCCTGGCTCTTCACATTCCTTCAGCCGTTGCTTCAGGGCCAGGATCTCCCGTCGGATGGCCAGGACATTGTTCTTGTCCAGATTCTCCAGATGAGCCACCATCAGGCTCATGTTCTTAATCTGAAGAGAAAAGGAAGGATACAGATCTGGTGACCAACATGCTGCCCTCCTGATATTGTTGGGCTGCAACTCCTGTCTCCGTCTGGCAACCCCCTTTGTCAACTCAGGGACAACCTGAATTAATGCAGGCACACTGATGTCCTTTTGCCTTTCTAATATGTGCCTTTTTATTTAATTTAAAACATTTCTATGCTCTATTTGGGTCTTTTATATTTCCCAAAAGATAAAACCTATCCATCTGTCTGTCTGTCTGATCCAGCCTCACCTCCACATAGAGCTGTTGGACCACCACATTGCTCTCTCCCATGGAGGCCTTCAACTGAACCACTAGACTCTCCATCTCCTGGATCTCCAGCTTCAGGACCTCGAAATCCAGCTCCGTGTAGGAGGTTTGGCTCTTGTGCATTTCCTCCACCCGTTGCGTGAGGTTGAAGAGCTTATGGCCATAGACATCCACAATCTTCATATACTCGGTCACCTACAGGAAGAGGGAGGAGGAGAAGCCAGGCAGGGAGAGAAGGGAAGGAACTGATGAGCGCCCCCTTTACTGAACTGGCCGATTCATGTTCTCCTCCCACTCTTAAACTGGAGCAGCTCCCTCCTTCTTTTCTCAAGATTTCACATGAGGAGAGCTGCTTTTGCTCAGGTGTTCAAGGCTAAGCAAGACTGGCAAACTAGATAAGGTAAAAAGTCATGAAAGCAATTGAAGAGTGGTCAAGGTGAGGATGGAGGAAATTTGGAAGGAGAGGAGAAGAGAGGCCTGCTTCCAAAAGAGGCAGATGTTTCTCCAAAAGAAAGAGGCGTCCTGGTGGGATCGTAGAGTTGGCCTATTCCGTCTTGTTTTGAGTGACAACTGCTCCATACTGCCGCACTTGCTCCAGCAAAGCTGTCTTAATCTTAATAACCAACTACTTGACTTGCATAATTAGGGACGCAGGCGGCACTGTGGGTTAAACCACAGAGCCTAGGACTTGCCGATCAGAAGATCGGTGGTTTGAATTCCCGTGACGGGGTGAGCTCCCATTGTTCAGTCCCAGCTCCTGCCAACCTAGCAGTTCGAAAGCACGCAGTGCAAGTAGATAAATAGGTACCGCTCTGGCGGGAGGGTAAACAGCGTTTCTGTGCACTGCTCTGGTTCGCCAGGAGCGGCTTAGTCATGCTGGCCACATGACCCGGAAGCTGTACACCAGCTCCCTCAGCCAGTAAAGCGAGATGAGCACCGCAACCCCAGAGTCGGCCACGACTGGACCTAACAGTTAGGGGTCCCTTTGCCTTTAGCTGACTTGCATAACTTATTTCACCCTAGAATATAGTCTTGTTTGGGGCAGATCTGGGGGCAGGAATGGGCAAGGAATGAACAAATGATACATTAACCCAGGAAATATGAATATGAGAAAAGAACTGCAAGTCATGCCCAGCGGCAGGTTTTGCTTTATTAGCTAATCATAGAATCATATAATTGTAGAGTTGGAAGGAACCCCAAGGGTCATCTAGCCCAACCCCCTGCAATGCAGGGCTCTAGATACAATGTGTTGGCACCACATCCTCCTACATTTCGTTGGGAATAGAATACCAATTTCTTGGCATTTAGTGGTTAAGAAGGCCCAAGGCCTGCATTCCTAAATCAAGTCCTCCTTTACCTTGGAAAGCTCCTTGTTGAACCTCTCCGAGAGCGACCCCCCAGCTTTTCCAGGGCCTCCACCTGCTGGGCAGGGAAAGCGTCTTCTGGCAGGAACACGGAGCACTGGCATATCCCGCGATCGTCCACAGAGCCATTGACACGTGAGACCAGCTGCAGGAGCAAGGAGGGCAAGGGTAAGAACACCCAAGGCGTCATGCAGCTGGACTAGGGCATTTGGCCCCCTGAGCACAGCACCCTGTTCTTCTCCCAGTGGCCAACCAAGAGGAAGCCTACAAGCAGAGGTCTCCCCACACCTGTGATTCCCACCAACCTGTGGCTTTTGCTGTCCCAAAGCGAAACAGAGGTGGCTTGTTTGCACAGAAGTACCAAGAGTGTTTTCTTCTTGATTCCACCAATGCTACTCAACCTGTGAAAGACAGGCGTTCTTGTTCCCCGCTCACCATTCCCAAAATTATCTGCCCATGGCTTCTGATTCCCGCTTGACTCTCATGAGAGTTCAAGGCAGAACCTCCTCAGCGTCAACCCATCTTTCTGTGCCCTCAGGTAAGACACATCGCCATTGAACAGCAAGATTGTTTCCTACCTGGGTGGCAGCGGTAGATGTCGCTTTCCAGCTGGGCAGTCGGAAAAGAAGCTCGGAAATGGGGCTTCTGTAACCATTGTCTACCAGAGGAAACACAAACACCCACATGGGAAGTTATTTCAAGTTTCTGAGCAGTCTTCAAAGGGAAGCCCATGCACAGCACATTGCGGTAGTCAAATCAGGAGATTGCCAGAGGATGGATCAGGGTGGCAAGGCAGTGATGATGGCACATGACGGAAGGTAGTCAATGTGGCATTGAGAACATCTGCTGCTGTACAATGGGACTTCTCCTCTTCCCTCCCCCTCTGCACCCCCTAAATCTGTTCTGGGGGTTCCTTCAACACTCCAGAGCATATCTGCGGATGGTGTGGGGCACCCATGGGGAGAGAATAGGGGAGGAAGTCCCAATGTGCAAGTGGGAGGAGTTCTGCTCATGGATTCCTTTAGTTGACTACCACCCAGAGTCTTTTTCCAAAGTAGGATGTGAGGAAGGGCTTCCTAAGAACTTCTTACTGGACTGCAGGCTTCTTTTTAAACCTTGCATGTTCATGCAGCATTTTTGTTTTAGAATCTTAGATGCTTTAAGACCTTCTAGTTTATTTTTACACAGCACCTCTGAGCAGTGAAAGACTCCAGGGGGTTCCAGTTGCTTAGCTAAATTCGGTCGCCTTAGAATGGTCAGTGGAGACAGCGGTGTCTTTAGGAAATATGGTTTTATTTAAACATGTATACAACCTGAGTATAAGATGGAGAGGGGGGGATCTCAGCATTAACACCTCAATGGATCTTGCTCCCTATCAGTCACAGCTTTGGCTCCAGCACAGAGCAAGCAGGTCTTTGTGTCTCCAGCCTCCATCCTGTTTTCTGGCTATTGTGTCTCCTCTCCCTCCTTGTCCCTGTTGGCATGACCCATGGGACCCTCTCCTTACCTCACTTTCTGTGGTAATGCTCATGGTGGTGCTCATGCTGGCCACACAGATGCCGTGGACGAGGAGGAAGAGCAGGGACCTTGAAGTTGGCCCACCCATCTTCTCCACAGTCCGCCGATGTTGTCTTGTGGAACTGGAGACCAAACCGCTAATTTATAGTCATTTCTGGGATTGTCCCTAATCAATAAATAGTGTTTCCTTGTTGAGATAGTGCTTATGTCAACACTTCAGGTTGTGAAGCTAGCAGGTGGTAGATGGGTCCAAAATTTTATTGATAGCCATAAATTGACACATGGAATTATGTACACTACCAATGCCACCATCCAGAACTGACAGGATCTAACTGGTTCCAGCACTCTGCCCAAGGGCTGCCCTCCTGCTCTCCTGTAGTTTGGGCAACTGCATCATTCTATCAAGTGGGAAGGAGATTTGGCCACATCTCAGGTGTGCACATGTGGCAGAATGTGTGACAAATTTGCAAGCTGTTGGGCTACAAAGCAAGCTTTAATGTGCAGCTCCAAAAGATAGGAGAGTATTGGGAGTGCCAGATTGGCAAGAATGCAAGTCCATGGAAGCTGGGAGATGGTGGAAGAGCAGGCAAGGTCCTTCTGTCCTGCCCTTTTGCTTAGGAGGTGACATTCTGGGCCCCCCACCAGGAAAGGCTTGGCTTTCCCAGGTTCAGATGCCCCACACCAACCTGGGCCCATCCAAGATGGCCAGTGGGGCAATAAAATGTCCTGGTCCGGCTAGTGTATACAAGGCGCTCTGTTTCCCAGAAGGAATTGCTACAACCCAAACCTGGCCAAGGGACGCGGGTGGCACTGTGGGTTTAAACCACAGATCCTAGGGCTTGCCGATCAGAAGGATGGTGGTTCAAATCCCCGCGACGGGGTGAGCTCCCGTTGCTCGGTCCCTGCTCCTGCCAACCTAAGCAGTTCGAAAGCACGTCAAAGTGCAAGTAGATAAATAGGTACTCGCTCTGGTGGGAAGGTAAATGGTGTTTCTGTGTGCTGGCTTCTGGTTTGCCAGAAGCGGCTTAGTCATGACCCGGAAGCTGTATGCCGGCTCCCTTGGCCAATAAAGCGAGATGAGCACCGCAACCCCAGAGTCGGTCACGACTGGACCTAATGGTCAGGGGTCCTTGACCTTTAATAAACCTGGCCAAAGAGGGAGGGTGTGAGGTCTTTGGTGCGTGATTGATTCTGAGCCTCTCTAAACAATTCCTCACAGTTTTGGACCAGCAGCAGAAACTGGAGCTGAACCTTGGCTCATTTCCCCCCCTTAAAGCAGAGAAGTGTTAGTGTGCAATAAAAAAATAACTGAACCTAGCAGTTCTGTAGCTCTGGACTTCACTTGCAGAACTGGGGAGAGTGAGTAGGGACCTCTTTGGGGTTGCTCAGTTGCTTTTGAACATAGGAGTTGCTGCTGAAATCCCTGCTCAGCCCTAAAGTTCTCGGCATAAATGATGTCCCTGCCCTTTCATTTACTGCAACCGACTCTCTCCCTCTGGACTTCTGCTGTCTGCAGGTCCTCTCCTGGGACTCTGAGGTAGGGAGGAAGAAGACATAAAGATTCCCCCGTTTGCTGACCTTCAGTGGCTGCCTTCTTATGAAGTGCTCTGGAGAAGCCGCTTTGAGGTCCATCTTCCATCAGGGCTGCAAAGTCCCGGATCAGACTGTTGATTGCCTTATGCTTGCTAAAAGCAGGAAGACATTGCACGACCTTTTTGGTGACTGAGGTAAGGGGAATGACAGAACCGCCTGGCAAGAGCAAGCGGGCAAACACTCCCAGTGGACGGGCACTGGCAGGATAGAAGATGGTGAGGATTCAGGACAGATAAGAGAAATTCCTTCTTATCTCCCTCTCACAAGAGCTAGTGATGGCCTCCTGCCTAGATGGCCTTAGAAGAAGATTAGGCAAATTCGTGGAGGAGGTGAGGGCTATAAATGCCTCTCAGGCACCCTCAGAAGCAGCAATGCTCCTGAGTGCCAGTTGCTGGAAACCCCAGGAAGGGAGAGCTGTTCTTGTGCTCAGGTCCTGCTTCCGCATTGGGGTATCTGGTTGGCCACTGTGAGAACAGGAGGCTGGACAAGGTGATCCAGCAGATTCCAATAATAATAATAATAATAATAATAATAATAATAATAATAATAATAATACCCAGCCACTCTGGGCAGCTTCCAACCGAATATTAAAAACAATACAGCATCAGACATTAAAAGCTTCCCTAAACAGGGCCGCTTTCATTTGTCTTTTAAAAGTAAAGTAGTTGTTTATTGCCTTGACATCTGACGGGAGGGGGTTCTACAGGGCAGGCACCACTACCA